ATCGGGAGGAGGATGGCGGACCAGACACCTTCGCATTCGAGCCAGTTGTTTGGCTGAGGCCTTAAGGAATGGAGAGCTGACCTTGAACCACCGGAGCGGTTTGGTTTTGTGGGCTGACGCACTCACGAAGGCTCTTCCAACGATTGGGTTGGAGCGTTTCTGCAAGGGCATTCTTCTGGGGCCGGAGGTCGTCAAAGAGGAGGTCAAGACAGGAACTATCCAAGCAGAGGAAGGGGTCAAGATTTCCAAATGCATGGCGATGATGCTGGCTGGGGCCTCTCTACTTCCTCAAGTCGGGGGTAGTGAAGTGTGCGAGAAGGGTGAAAATGAATCCTCAACGAGTTCCTCGATGATGGGGGATGTGGGGTGGCTTGTGCTGCTGGCAGGCTTGGTGTGTTTGCTGCAGATGATCAAAGACCTTGGCCTGACGTTGCTTAGACGATTGGTTTCTGGGCAGGAGAATGTCAAGGTGAAGCTGCTGTCTACAGAGGCCACCATGCCAAAGAAGGGTTCTGGAGATGCCGCAGGTTGGGATATCTCAACTTCAATGGCAGTGAAGATCGCTCCGGGCGAAAGGAAGTTGGTCTCCACAGGTGTGGCGTTGGAAATCCCAAAGGGCTCCTATGGTCGAGTGGCTTCGAGAAGTTCGCTGGCCTTGTGTGGCTTGGATGTCGCCGGAGGGGTCATTGATTCCGACTATCGGGGTGAAGTCAAGATCATCCTTTCGAACCAGGGGAGCCAGGAGAGGTCTTTTGAGGTGGGTGATCGAGTTGCCCAGATTGTGATCGAGAAGATTTCCTCAGTGCCGTGGGTCCAAACAGCAGAGCTCTCCAGGTCTTTTCGTGGTGAAGGGGGCTTTGGGAGTTCAGGAGCGGCGGTCCGGAGTATGAGATTGGGGGCTGAAGATTCCACTGAAGGTGAGCCTCAAGTTCCTGAAGGGGGTCTTTTTGATCGAGGATCTCAATTACATGAAGGGGTCCGTCGGGGTGAAGGCTCTTTGAACCAGGAGGAGGATCTTTGTGCAGATGAACCTCATGTACATGAAGGGGGCCTATCTCGTCGAGGTCTCCATGTACCAGGTCGGAATGCACCTCGAGATGAGGTGAGTAGAGACAGCCAGGTCTCTGAGGTGGGAGTGTGGCCGCGAGACATCCAGTTTGCAGTTCACACCTCGCAGGGCGGCGAATCAATGCCGGTCTTTTTGGAAAGATTGCTCAACAGCGACCTTCGTGAGGTGCGTTGGATGTTTCCGGAGGAAGTGATCAACATCGTGTCCTTTGTTCCCGTGAATGGCACGCCCTATGAATGTGTGGTGCGATTTCCTGAAGGGATTGTGTCGCTCAAGATCCACCGTCATGGGGGCTGGCGTCGGAAGCTGTTCGACAGTGAGCTTTCGGTCCCTCTGTGCTCAAGCGGGGTGTCTTCGAAGGTGGTCACCATCGCCTGGTGTGAAAATGGCAGAAAGGTGATTCGATGTGATTTGAGGAAGGGCAGTCATGGCATGAGCTACCTCCAGCAGAAGTGGTCGGGCTTTAGCATTTTAGCTCGGGCATCTCCGGTGGTTGCTGAAGGTGAACGCTCAAGTCCAAGAGCCACATGATTGGGTATGAAGGGGTTCCGGGTCGTTTTGATTCGAGTGACATGGCTCGCACGGAGTTTCTGCTAGATGGGGCTCTATGAGGCTGGCTGGTGCTTGAAGTTCGCAGCCGAATTCTGAAGGGTGAATGTGGTTGTGAGTTTCCACACGTGTGCAGAGCAGCTTCTTAGAGAGCTTCTGAAGTGGAAATTTTTTTCGTGTGAAATGTGTAAAGAAGGGCTTGAGCCTGGAAACCTTTTGAATTTCTTTCATGAGTGGTGTGATGGAACACCATGTCGGATTTCAATATCCCGAGTTAGCACACGTGAGGGGAGAGCCGAAATCCTCATTTGATGTGCAGTTGATGTGATTGTAGAGGAAGTTGTGAAGGACATGCCTTGAAGTGTGTACCTTGAAGCCCTTTTTTTGTGATCGAGAAATCAAGAGCGATTTGTCCGCTTGGTGATAATATATGCGTTCAAAAGCAAAGTGCAAAGCACCTGCCTCATTCTTTGATGTAAAAGAACCACGCGCAATGTAACGGATGTAGAAACGTGTCGGAATCAACATTACTTGGCGAACACTTCTTGAGGAGGCTGTCCCGAGATCGGTATATTCCTTGTTGCTCAACATTGCCCATACCGCAGCGCATGTATATCTCACTACTCAATGTTTGTCTCACCTTTCAGCGCAGGTGCAAACGATGCAGTATGTCTCTCAGAAGGGTGCGGCAAGGACAGCAGAGAAGCGTTTATTTTTTGTTGTTTTACTGTGATTGAAACTGAATGGTCCAGCGGGATCCACCTGCATTTGGTGTGCAGATTGTACAGTAGTCCCTGGTGAAGAAGCCAAGATTTGTAGGACAGCGAGTCAACAACCCACCTTTCGGAGGACTGCCGATCAACTGCGAGAGCTGCTGCTGAAGCCAGGTGAGGAGAACGCATTGAGGACAAAGCATTGGGTTTGATTGATAGCATTGAGCTGGTCAAGCATCGTTCTCTCCTTCTCAATGTCATTCTGCAAGTCACAGATATGGTTTCTTGCATTCAGTCTTATATAATTATGAAAATAGCATTTTACCTTGCGGCTCAATCATGTTCGATCCGCTCATATGGACGGAGAACATCAGCACTTGGTGACTTGTTTCTAAGAGATCTCTGGAAAGAAGGGAACTTGTTGGGCACATGGTTGCATGGTGTACCAGGCCGTGAAAGCCTCCTTGAGATGTACTCTGATGATGTTGCAGAGCTCCTCCACTGCAACAATGAGTTTAGACATCGTTTGAGTGGTGTAGGTGGAAAGGACTTGAGTTGCTTTTATGAGGGCTGAGAAAGCCACGGCGTGGCTTTTCTGTTACACACAAGTTTTGAATAGATTCATGACATGCAGTGACAAGCAGGATCAATGACATCAACGAAAAACTCAAGCTCAATCATCCGTTTTTGAGGTCCAGATTCTGTTTCAGCCAATCAGTGTAATCATTATCCCAGAGATTGGCAGGTTCTCAGTACCCGTGGGAGGCGAAGACGAGGCAAAATTATGCACGCTGTAAAACTGTGGCGACCGAGTTCCATCAGATGCATGTGTGAAAAGCCTTTCACAGCTTGGAAGACATTGTTAGAAACTGGAAACACAATGGGCGGACTTCATGCTCATGAGAGAATTCCAGACAATCTTCTTCGCGTAACATGGCATCGGACATGTTGATTTATATATTGTATATATACGTGTTCTATAAACAGATTCTGCGAGCCACAGCCTGGCCGATGTGTAGAGTACAAAAGAGATGAAACGCACAAGAACGGCCAAAAAGCCTTAGCCCGTGCCTTTAGATACCTTTAGCATCATTTTCATCGCCAATGCACTGACACTATTCTTGTCGGAGCTCCCCAGTGGGTAGCCAGATGAGCCAGGTTTTGGAGCTCCGCTACATCAGATGGCTGAACCTGACAGGCTGACAGCAGCTGACAGCCTGTCAGGACAGCCTGTCAGGCAAACAAGCCATCATTTTCACATGACCTGAAAGCCAGCTAAAGAGATTGCACATTTATGTTTTGCGGGTCAATCTTTTCGCCGCGAGGCCCGCTTTGTACAGGAGTGATGACCCACATGTTTGCACGATTCTGGGATTTATCATGTGCTTGCCAACATTTCGTTACCGAAACATCATTTGTTGGTCTATAGAATCTATAGAATGCAGTTTCAAGGACATGTGGTGTTTTGAACCTATTCGTACCTACCCACTTGCGACTGACAATACAGGTCGCAAAGGTAAAAATGCACGTGCATGTTTCAAGTCTGGCAGAGAATTCACTGCCCGAGCAATTTCCGAATTGGCTTCAAGTCTTGCAAATAAAGTGGTGCGATCCCCGTGAGCGAGCGGATGATCCAGAAATTGGGAGTTTGATAGCGAATGATAGCGAGCAGTGAGTGCAAAGCCTTTAGCCAAGGCATCAGGTTTGGGCACATGTTGCGAGCAGAAAGGCATGCTAAGTCTACTATGTGAGTTGGAACCTGGGACAGTCTCAAGCGAGTAAGGATCCATTTCCGAGACCTCGCCGATTCGTCAAATGTCAAACATGTTCAGTAGTGACATATGATATATATATATATACACTCCTTAAAAAGTAAGTGGCGCAACCCCAATTTGGAAGAGAGCGCCATCTACCCACCCAAAAATGAAACCCAGGCCACAACAAAAAATTGCTTTTGTGGCGGCAGGACTTGTCAGTGCCAAAAATGATGCGCCATCTACTTGGCTCAAACTTGTAAACATGTCCTTTGCTTTCTGCTATGGTAAAAGGGAAAAGGAAAAGGGAAAAGGGCAAGGAAAATGGAAAAGTGAAAAGGAACAGAAAAAGACAAGGGAAAGGGTCGTGGGTGTTCATGGTCTTGTGGCCCAACCTTGCCACTGAAAGTGCCGGGAACAAGGGCCAGTAGATGACGCAACCGTGGCCAAAGTGCAAGAGAAAGAATCTGTCGAAAGAGTTGGGCCATCTACTCCTCAGTTTTATGTCGCCAAATTGATGAGTGAACGAATACTTAAAACAGCCAAGAATGGTAATATTAGCAGTGTTTCCCAATGTTAAGAAAAGATCGGAATGGTGCAATTTCCTCAATTGCTTTTACTTTAGTCTATCAGGGCTGATATGCCTTGCTGCCCCATGTGGTGAGTAGATGGCGCCTGTTTTCAGGAAGGCTCAGTGGATGGCTCAACTCAATATTCCAGGGCCACTTACTTTCCAAAGAGAGTATGTATAATATATATATATATATAAACATAGTCATAGTAGATAGAAATACAGTATATAGACATACTATATATTTCATAATCGTTGATTGGTCGAGCCTGTATATAGTTATTTGTAGGGAGTAGCTCCATCCATCTCCATCCTTTGTCTATTTTTCTTCGCACAATCTCAAGGCATTGACGGGGAAGCTCCAGAAACATGGCTTGGCCTAGGCCAATGGGACCAAAGGATTCGTGTTTGATTCTCGTGTTTTGCGAGTCAATGCTTTCTTTGAATCTGGAATCGCGTTCTTCGTTTTGTAGAAGGGGCCAGGCTTGAAGTATCGACAAGCCAAATCCAAGTGAGTCTAGAGTCTAGCTGGAGAGGTATTGGATCTTGAGACCCTGAACCCTAGCTAAACGGTAAATTGAGAATCACAGAGCCATCATGGTACATTGATAGTCCCAGTTTCGCCGTGGCCAAAGTTTGAGGTCCTCCAAGTCGAGTGCAACGATTCCATGACAATTGTCGTGGATCGCCAATGCAAGTGTCTGAGGGTGAAAAGGACTGGGAGCTGAGAACAAAATCGGGGATCTTAAGCAGCCTTGCTAACAGATGCACACTGCAGCTAGTAGCTTAAGTAAGTTAATTACCACCTGAGGACCTGGGATGCAGGATAACTCACGCTCGCACTAATGATTTGCTAGTTTGGCTCCTAGATTTTTAGGGAAATTGCTAACACACAGACTTGCTACCACCTGGTCGCACTGCCTTCACTATGATTCATGTTGTGTGGTAGCCATTTGAAAGCTTTCAACAAATGCACAGCCCAAGTCGGAATTGGACCCGCTACTGAAGCAAGCACATAAAAGACAGCGTGCCACTCAGAGTAGAACTGACTGCGGATGAATGTGGATCACTACAATGTGATGTGTTTTTGCCTCAATCTTTGCCAAGAGTTTGAAAGCTACCTGGAGTCACACGCTTCTTTGTCAACGATTCACGCAAAATCCACATACCCACCACCTTCAGCGTGAGCCAAAGTGATGCCATGGTTGGATACTTCAGCGCCTATAGCGCTGACATCTTCCTACTTTGTTTTTTTTCCTGCGAATATACCATGCCTGGAAGCTTAGTTCAGAGTTGAACAGCAGTGCATGGTTTAGAACACCGCTAGAAGGTGAGAGTTCTTCATGCATCGGCATTCTGTGTACATTTAAGTGCATCTCATGTCATTGTTTGGTGTCATGGAAAGGCGTTTGAAGCGGTTCGGGGCGTGCCCTTCCTTCTATGTTAGTCAGCGACAGCGATGTGTTTGTTCCCCAGCCTCCCTTTCCTCTTGCGACAAACAGTTGGAAGTTCTCAACTCCGTGACACTGTCGATCCAGCTCAAATCTATCAAATTGAAGTGCCAACTCAAGCACAAGCAGGAGAATCGCAGTTCCCGAAGCTCAAATCAGTTCAAGTGTTTTTCCAAAAAATTCCAAAGAAAACACAACACGGTAAACGAAAGTCCTTCACCCTAAACGAAAAAGATACTGTAGCGTAGTGTAGACTGCAGTCATCCAGTTTGGAATCAAGCAACAGGTACACAATTATTCGCGCCGCTACGCGGCTGACGCGGCTGGGTCGCCCCCACCGGGAGAAATGTTTGTGGTAATGTTGCCGTATTTGTGGCGTTATAGTATCCTTGCAAACACTGGTGGTGGCAAGATTCAAAGTGCTTTTCAAAAGATGTTCCGAGTGCTACCAAAAAATACATACCCATCATCCCGATTCTACCTGGCTAATACGAACCCCTAGCCAGCCAGAGCCGTACCATGAAGCCGCTGGTTTTTGTTAATGCCGGTTCTACCTGGCTACTCTTGACCAAATCTCAGAAAAAAACAATCAATCAATTGTTTTTTGTTTTTTTACATGTTTCAAGATGTTTCAAGAACGCCTCAAACATTTGCATGTCCCAAAACCTTCATCAAATGCCGATATTTACGACTGTTTTGTTCGCTCGATTTTCAACAACCTCCAAAAACTCAGGTTTCTTGGCGGATAAAGGGCCCCCGAGCTAAAGCTGAAATCTTGCGATTGACTGTGCCCAGCACCTTCAGTGCAGGCGGATCTTTTTTGTGGGTCCACTCCAAGGTGTACAATGATAAGGTTTGAGCGACCCAAACCTCTTTTAGTTTGGTTGTGGAAGTCCACTCGATGCTTTGGTCTCCGGATGGGTCACCACCCTGATTTAGTCCTCCTTGCTCTTGGCCTCAAACCCAACTGATACAAGTAGACATGCCAAGTAGTTTCCATGCGAGATGCTTTTGTACCAAGGCTGAAGGAGTGTAAATCGCAAACTCGCTTTAAAGCATGATTTGCAAGGTTTGGTGTATGATCCTGGGACTTTTCATGGCGCTCACTGTCGTCATGCAGGAGAGGAGATGCAGTTGCTGGCATGAGTTTGGAGAACAGAGGAGCATCAGTTTTTTGTCAACAAGAATCACTCCACCTTGATGTCTTGTGCCAGAAAAAGTACCATTTTACAGACCGGGCACCTGCTTCAAAGTTACATGTGTTGTACTGTATAGTTCCCCATTCGCTTCAATTCAAAGATCCATTTGTGTATACAGTGTATGTGCTCACAATAGAGCCATCTACATAAGCTTGCTCGGGAAACTGCTGCAAAAGCAACGGATACTACCGATGATCGCAACCCCTGCAGGTCACTTTGACCATGTACATTGACCTGATGTCGAGTCGGTGGGTTTTCCCTTATGGACCTGGACTGGCACTTGTGGCAGCATGTTCCCGAGATGCATTTGAGAGGTTCCATCTTTGCATGGTTGCAGACTGTCTATGAACCCTTGCAAAATCTTGGGAGGTTCAAGTGTTTGAATCATTGAAGCATAAGGCCTAAATTCAGTCTTGCTGCTGCGACTCGGCAACACCAAAGAAAGGGACTGGTCAGCTCATGGGCCATCCAAGTAGTACAGTCGCAGTTGTGAACTTGCTGGGTAGCCTGGGTTGAGATTCCATCAGATCAAAGAAGCAAGTTGATACCCAATAGTTAGGGCGGAGAAACCTCTTTGGCGGCGTTGTTGTTTTCCTCTACGGCTTTGACTTAGATCGCTTTTGCTAGAACAGCCAGTTCAAATCCTTTCAGACAGCAAGAGCTTGCAAGCAATCCAATCAAACTCGTCATACCGAGCAATGAGGATTGCTGGCACAAAGTTGTGCTACTCTGCAGTCTGGTTAATGCAAGATGCGTGGCGAGAGGATTCCTTTCTGGCCTTCCGGTCCTTACTTTTGCTGCTAGGCACAGATGGCACAGCAGAAGCAGGATTTTTTTGTTGTTTGCTGCCATACCTGTCATACCTGAATATGGACTTCAGGAGGCCCAGGAGGACCATTTTCCTCGAGGTTTTGGCCAGTTTGGTCAGCAGTATACTTCAGGTTCCGACCCCTGCAGAGCCACTCTGGACTGCCGCTGACTTTCGGCATGCTTTGATTTTGAATGGAGGATGAAACCATTTTGGGAACAGGAACAGGTTGGGGATGGTTGGGGTGTGATTTGGTGATATGAGCTGATGTCACAGACCCTGCACTGCTTTGCATTCGAAGGAGGGATGTCGTTTGATGTGGGCACACCCTTTGTATGCAGTCTGTCGAGTGTCCTGCAATGTGACGCCGTTCCGGTTCAGAGCTGGGGTGTCCTTCCAAGTCCCAGCAGCCCGAGGAAAGAGAACAGAAGCTTTGAACGCAAGGACCTCTGCAACATGTGCAATTTGCATCGATTTGCATCAAATTGATTCCATTTTGTGCACATTTGGTTCTTGTTTGCCCAATTTGCTGGGACGTATGCTTGTTCTCCAGGATTTGCTGTTGCAGCTTGCAATTTGCGTGCCATTGGACGTGCTGCCGCTGATGTTTGGCCTTTGGGGCAATACAACGTGCTTTGCATGCCGCTGGATAAGCACTCAATTCGAGTAGACGGTTGTGTTTGCAAAGACTGAGACTCACCAAGGTTTGGCCTTGACGAGCTTCCTCGAAGTCTTTCTCTTTTGGTTCTTAGAGGTGGGAGGGAATCATCCAAAGTGGGAATTCCCGGCATGTATGTTTTAAGTGTTTTACTCAAGGTGGTTTCACTGGAAACCTCTGTAGAAGACTTTTTGGGGTTTTAAGGAACAACCAATGTGATGCTTGCACCATGTGCAAAGTGCAAGCTTGAACACTAGCAAGAAATCGCATTCCGATCGTCCTGCAGGTTGTCGATGACTTTCTTTGTAAAAAGCGACCCTTGGTTGCACAAAGCGCAGCCGCCTGCTAGCCCCATTGCACAACATACACTCACAGTGAACTTGGAACGCCGCTTTTCCTGTTGCATGAATTTGCACTAAAGTTTCTTCTATTGCATGGGGAATCATAGGGACATTGACGCAGCAGGTGAAAGCAACCATTCAAATCCATCTCTGTTCCCGCCCTGATTCTAGGAGCGATCCAGCAGCTGTTCTTGAGTGTGAGTGTTCCAGCCTTACAGCCATGGCAAAGTTCAAGCAGCACACAGCTCGCATCTTGGCACATGTTGCCAGTTTTGTGCAAGGTTTTTGCAGTTGCAACTTGAATTGTGCATCAATCATAATCCCAAAAGGGCGTTATGTCATTGTGCCAGACATTATATAAATGCACTTGTTGTTTTCAGTTCATTCATTCATTCGCTGTTGTTAGTGCTGTTTGCTCATGTCATGGTGAGTTGCAAACCATTTGTGTTTCAGGCCACACCCCGGCCAGAAACAACGGGTGCAAATTGGTTCAAGCAGAAACGACCTCCTCTCCACGCGGCACAGATTTCATCAGATTTCATTTTCTGCAGGTCACCTCCACTCCACGCGTGCTGGAGGCAGAGCCTGTAGAGACTAGGTGGTTTCGCAAAAGGTCAAGCCAGTCATGCCATCGTATTTGGAGGTGTGAGGCAAGGTGCCACATGGTCGTGTTGAGGTCTTCCTAAACATTACAGAATGTGATAAACATGTTGGTTGGACCACATCAAGTACTCATACAAGCTCGGATTGAGTGTGACATGTATGATGATGTATGCAGTATGCGTTTTCCTTAGACTTTGGCAGGCGTGGTTACACAAAACACAAGAAGCAAGATTGCATGCGAATTCTAGTAGTCAGTGGTTGTTCTAGTGTAGTCAGACCAAATATTATATGTTAGATGATATTAGTAAGACTATATATATACT